ATGAGTGACCAAGAGAGAATTTCTCCTCACAATATTCATACAATATCAAGCACACAAGTGATAAGAATTAAAAAATATCAATTTGTGGATTATTAATTGATCCAATACCAAATTCTCCAAACTAACATTGAAGAATTGTATAGCAGACAGTGAGGAGAATTACTCATGTGATCTTGGGAGTGAAAGGGTTAAACTGCTCCTGAAGGTAAAAAGACCCTAAGGTAGCTTTATCTTGTTTTGAACATTTTTCCCTCAGCTTTGCACAATGTTTGATTCAGGTATTGCCAAAATCCACCAGAAAAGAAACTGCAATTCCAATTTTTAGGCAGAAATTTGTGTTATTTCAGAATGTACAGTTTATCATGGTCATTGATTGTCAGTTTTGATAGTTTTATATGGATTGATACTCAGTATTGCCAAAAATCCTTAACTTAAGAGATTGGGGGTTAAATCAATGCAAACTCGTGGTATCCATTAATTCCTATTAAGTTCAGGATATGCATTTCATCATTGTCATTGATTGGCAGGTGTCAGGTGCTCAGCCTACAAAGCCATCCATCAGTTTTGCACATTTTAGCTTTGATGAACAGCTCATGGGTGCAATCAGGAAGTCTGAATACACACAGCCAACACCGATCCAGTGTCAGGTATGATGGAAATCAAGAACTGACATCACATGCAGGGTAATTTAATATTATCAACTGAGTTGCTCTAATGAAGGGCTAGTGCTTGAAATGTCAGCTTTAAAACTCTTTACAGTGGCTACTCTAAATTATCAATTGAACTCAGTTGATAATACCAAATTACCCTCATATACTCTCCCACGATGCAGTGCCAAAGTTTCTTTAGAAACTTACCCCCTTTAATCACATGTAGTTGTATAACACATCCCTACTTACCCAGTGGAAACCCATGGTACATTGTAAGTGGGTGGCAAGCTGGCATGACTTCTGGTAGCTGGCTGCTGCCTTAAGCTTACCACTCCTTGGGTAGAAAGATTGAGAGAAGGTCACCTTAAACCAACTAATGGCAACTCCCAAAAAATGCTGAATTGATAAAAAATTAATGAGCTTGATTGCAAGCAGACTTAAATAGAGGTTTTGGCTTACTCCTGAAAAGTAATTTCTCACAAGTGTATTATTTTCTCCAACATCTTTTTGCATTTTGATCTAAATTTAGAGTCAGAATATCAGTTCTGGTGAACATCTGTGTAGCATTATGTTAGTATGGTATCACTGTAACTAAACTGTCATTCATTAGTTCTTCAATTGCGATAAACACAGGAGAAAAAAAATGGGAATTCTGTTTTTCTCCTTGGCTCTGCTTTGAACTGTGGCTTTCAGGGCACACAAATTGGGAAAGGGACAAGGAAGAAATGTTTGATGGAAAAAGCTATTTTCCCCATACTACTGTGACTGACAAGGGTTTTTTTCTATGAATTGAGCTTCATAAATGGTTCCTCTGTGACCTTTTTTTTCAGGCAATCCCTGTGGCACTTAGTGGACGAGACATCATAGGCATTGCTAAAACAGGTTCTGGTAAGACTGCCGCCTTCCTGTGGCCAGCACTGGTTCATATCATGGACCAACCTGAGTTGGAGCCTGGTGATGGACCCATTGCCCTCATCTGTGCACCTACCAGAGAACTTTGCCAGCAGATCTTTGCTGAAGCTCGACGGTTTGGAAAAGTTTACAACATCCATGCTGTGGCTGTGTTTGGCGGAGGCAACAAATATGAGCAGTCAAAAGCTCTTCAGGAAGGAGCAGAAATTGTTGTTGCTACTCCAGTAAGGAAACTTTGTATGGTGTAGATGTGGAAGTTTACGTCATCTTTCACCTAAATAACCACGCTTCTAATTGACCATCTTTATTTACATCATCACTGTGCAAAAGCATTTCATTCGATATTCCTATCCTAGCAGTTAGCAGGATGTTTGTCAGCATGGACCCAGTTAAACGACCTAGCCTGTCACAAGTCTCCTATAGTGCAGTGGTAGAACGTTCGAAGTAGTAATCGGAAGGTCTTGGGTTTGACTCCCAGTGGGAGCACTTGGAGTTCTTTTTCTACGAGTATGCCCGTGTCACTTACTGAATAACATCAGGTTTTACAATGAATCGTGGGTCGAAATGATCTTAAGTCGTTTTTCTCTCTTTCCAGGTTTATTGAAATATACTATAAAAAAGACATTTTATTAGTGCCATTATTCTGCGCTTCATGTGCTCCTTTTTAGAACAAAAAAATAAAAAAAGAATCATGCTTTTTTTACCGAAAAAAAAACAAAAAAAACAGACGTAGACCATAGAGACCCCAAATTGCTCATTTTCTTTCCTGGTAACAGGTTACTTCTGAGACTCCAACTGTAATAGGGACATGCGTTGTTAACCATTCTTTACAACTACCGGTACCTTAAATGACTGCAGTCTCAAGTGGTCAAACAAATCTCATGTACAACATTAGCGCTTCTCTTTATTAGTTTTATAACTTTATTGTCATCCAACTCTAGGGTCGTCTAATTGACCATGTGAAGGCAAAGGGCACAAACTTAAAAAGAGTTACATATCTGGTCTTTGATGAAGCTGACAGGATGTTTGACATGGGATTTGGTATGTAAACTACACGGCTAAAAGCATCATGAGCAGGCATCGCTCGAATAGCGCAATTTTCAATCGTGTGTCGAAGTAATCCGGGATTTCGTTAGTTTTGCTTCACTTTGCTCTGTGATTGGCCCATTAAATTCGCGCCTCTTTCTCAACCAATCAAATTTAAGCCTGAAACCAATCGCTCCTCGGTCGCCTGCGTTTCCCGCGCCTCAAGCCTTTTTCTTGTTTTTACTTTGAGTTCTGATTGGCTCCTGGTGATTTTAACCTTTGTTCTGATTGGCTGTCAAGATTACTTTTGTTTTGGCTTTACGTCACTCAATCGCAAAAGCGCCCTACAACAACGACTATGAGGTTTAGAATATCTTTAATTTACGAAAGAGAAGTGTTGCTCATTTCTTCTTATTTTTAAGAGTGCTTCATGGTTTCGAAGTGTTTTAATGGGGTGTAAATGGACACGTATGGACATCTTGCTTATTTCTGTTGTGGGAATCAAAACCTGATACTTGTCCTTTAATGTTACGAAATGTTTTTCTCTAGAGCCGCAAGTGAGGTCGATCGCAAATAACGTTCGTCCCGATAGACAGAGTGAGTATTACCTCTTATTTCACCTCGTTATTCTTTTCTCAATAAATAAATAGATGATTGTTGCTCTGATATGTAACTTCACATGCCAAAATTGACGGTTAATTGCAATTTGCGCTTCCTTCGTTTATGCAATTTTCATCTCTAATCCAGCTATCTGAGTTGAAAATATTATCACTGCTTTAAGTTGTTTGTCGTTTTGCTTCGTTGTATTTAGCCTTGCTCTTCAGTGCCACATTTAAGAAAAAAGTTGAGATGCTGTGTCGGGATATCTTGACAGATCCTATTAGAGTTGTGGTGGGAGAACTTGGCGAGGTAAGCAATAATCGTCTGAGGAAGAAAAGACATATTCGCTGTACTTAGAAGAAGTTTCTAACCAGTTATCAGTTACTGATGATAATCACTTATCAGATACTGTAAACAAACTTGTAAATGAAAACCTGTCTGGTCATTGTGGGAGCGGGCAAATAGTTCGGTTCAGAGTTGTATCCCTTGTAGTACATTATACACTGCGGAACAATAATTATAAAAACTTATTTTATCAAGATTGAAATGAACCGTAGCTGAAAGATGCATTATGTTCGTAAAACATTAACTATTAAGATAGGGGTGAGAGTTTGAGAAAACATAATTTTCTCCAACGTAGTGGATCATTTTACAAGGAAACACAAGAATTTTACTTGTTCTGTATTTAATTTCCCACTTATTTTTCCTGTCTATGCAGGCAAATGAAGATGTAACACAGATCGTGGAGATCTTACCAAGTATCAGTGATAAATGGACATGGCTAACAAGGCATTTAGTCTCTTTCACATCAGGTAATCAACGGAAAATTGGGAAAAGCACTCTACGAATTTAAGTCTTGTGTGTTCTTCATACTTCCCTACTAAAAGACTCGGACCCTATAATTTCGCTATTTGCTGTACGAATGAAATAATTCCAATGTTTCTAATTCTCAATTCACGTACCTTGTTTTCCAATTTAAGGAAGGTTGGGTTTCTTGAAGAGGATTCGACGTGATTTTAATTTTTGTTCCACAGGAATTTGTCACAAGTGACGTTAGTTTGTATTTCTCTCACTTACATGTATTTTGCTTTCTAAGCTGGAAGTGTCCTCATCTTTGTGACCAAAAAGGCCAACAGTGAAGAACTTGCATCAAAACTCAAAACCAAAGATTTTGAAGGTAGGTCCTAGATTGTTGCATATATGTCACTTTTAACGCCCAAGGTTATCTCGTGCCTGTCTTTCAAATTCGTGGGAAGGCGATCTTTCAAATGCAACCTAGATTGTTGTTCAACAATGAGCATCAGCAAATCGTTATAGCAAGTGACAAATTATCTCTGAATCAACCTGTGAGGGATTAGAGCCTATCCACTCTCGATCTGAGTTCACCGCCCTCGTCACCAGGGCACCGTATCTCCTTAGGGAAGAAACTATTTTTTTGCACTTGTTTTCTCTCTTTTAAGACCAGCCCGGAGAATATCTGTAGAAAAAGGTTGCCCTTCTTGGCTCGGGGGGGAGGATTTTTTTCTTTCTGCCCTTTAAATAATCGAAAATATTTTGTTACCTTGATCTGTGTCACTAATCACAAATAACTGATATGGCCGGTTTATATTGCTTTTGGCCTCTCTTTACTCAGTGGTGTTATTGCACGGAGATATGGATCAATTCGAGAGAGACAAAGTCATCAACTCATTCAAGAAACAAGAGATCCCAATTCTAGTAGCGACTGACGTAGCAGGTAGGAAGCAAAGTTTAATATTTATGTACAAATTTCACTCAGCGCGCAAGCTGCGCACACAGAGAGAAAAGAGATTGCTGCGAACGTTTGACGCTTCTTTACGCAATTTTGGAGGAATTGAAGGCATGTGCGACTCCAGCTCGGCTCACGCTTTTGCCGTTTGGCTGAGAGGAAGCTGATGAGTCTACCAAGCAGGTTTAATCCTAGACCTTAAAGAAGTAGCCATTCGCTCGCGGAAGTGAACTCTGGACCTTTCAAACACCTCTACATTAAAAGATAAAACATGTGTATTTCTTTAAAATACTTGACTCAAATTCCCCACCACCCCCCCCCCCCCCCCCCCCCCCCCCCGGCACGGACGACAGTCAAATGCCGGTGGGTTGCCCGGGCGGGGGTGTTGAAGCTTCGAATTGATCGGTGTATTAGCGTTGATGAATTGGTTTTCATTTTAGCCCGTGGCTTGGACATTCCGTCAATTAAAACTGTCATTAATTACGACGTGGCACGTGACATCCACACGCACACACACCGGATTGGTCGGACTGGCAGAGCAGGTAAGTTTGTCAGAGGTTCTAATTCTAGCAAATACGAGTAAGTACTTTTTCTGTCGTTTACTCCAAAAGATATAGCCGGAATTCAAAGAAATGCCTTTCTGAGCCCCTTTTGCGGGCTACAGGAAGTGAGTTACCCCTGGAAGTAATGAACTAGAGGAATTCTTCTTGCTATATCGAGGCATTATTCAACCAAAAGAGAGTGATAGAGATAGAAAGACTGACTAGCTGGATGGTGTTTTTTTGATCTAACTCCAAATTATATTAACCAATATACGGGGAAATACTGAACACGTAAAAAGGAGAGTTGAGAATCATTTGAGTGGAGAAAAATATGTTGAAAAACGTTTAGTATTGTGGGAGTTCTGTTGCCATAGTCATTTTTCTAATAAGGCGTAGATTGTGTATGTTAATTCAACTTTTCTTTTTTGGTACAGGGGAAAAGGGTGTAGCTTACACCCTTCTCACGTCAGCAGATCAAAATTTTTCAGGGGATCTTGTGCGAAATTTGGTGAGTTTTTGCTATATTCATGATTAATTTCGAAGAACCCGCTTAAGTTAAGATAATTCCAAAGCATGGCTTATTTATCAAGCGGGAAAGCTCAATAATATATGGATTAAGTCAAGCCTAAAAGCGGAGCTCGCATTTTTTTTTCCCGCACGTCTCAAGGGCACAACGTCTTGCCCCGGCCAGGACTAGAACCCGGGTCGTGCGACTCGGAGCCCAGTACACTGGACTACTGGACAAAGCTGTGGCATTGGCGCGCCCGCGGTACAGTTGACCATGCATGTTAAAAGTAGCACCTTGTACGGTCGTACGGTCGTACATCCAAATTTTTTCGGCTTGATGGGTTACTACTATTTTGTATAATTATGAGGCTACGCTCTGCGAGCTCCGCTATTAGAGGGGGAAAAGGAGGGAAAGGAAAAGGCTTCAAAAACTGCAATTAAGCAGACCTTGCCCATGGAGGACGTTAACTTCTTTGATAATGAATTGGATGTATTTGGGTAAAGCTTTCGTTTAAACCTGTCAACTTTCTAACCCATCTAAGAGTTTACCAAAATTTTCCTTGGTAGTGTATCTTTGGTAGACTTTGGAAAGTAAGAGAAACTTGGGAAACGAGTACCAATTCTTTAGGTCAAAATATCACGTCCATGTAATTTTCAGACTTAAATGAATATCCACTTGCTCTAGTGCGTAATGCTTGTTTATATCAGGAAGGAGCTGATCAAGTGGTTTACTACAAATAAATATAAATATCCACCTGCTCTAACGCATAATTCTTGTTTTTATTAGGAAGGAGCTAATCAAGTGGTTCCTGAGGCTCTGATGGAGATGGCACTGAAGGTTCTTTATTATTAAGCGTACTACTTCTTTCTTAACTCGTGAAAACATATCGTTTGCAAGTCTGTAGACCCATTTTCATTCATGTGTTATCCCCTTATAAGTTTTCCTTAGTGGGTAGATTGCCAGTTAAAACAAGTTTTTGGCGCCAAATTCCCATGTCCATAACCTGTTATTTCAGGTTTTAAACAGGCAGACTTCTGTTGGAAAAACTTGCCAGCGGTAAAAACTCCAAGGGTAGACGACTTGATGCAGACATTTGTCAAGAAAATCGGAAAAGATTAAGAGTGACGGTTACTTGAGTTTTCAATCGCGATTTTAGTATGGAGCAATTTTCATTTGAGTTTCAAAAATAATCTTGATGGTAATTGGTTTTGTTTTACTTTGCTCTGTGTTTGGTTAAAAAACTCGCACCACTCTCTCTACAAATCAGATGTTTAACGACCTCTAACGCGCCAATTACGACTTGGTCGCCCGCGTTTTCCCGCGCTTTAGGCAATTTGCTTGTTTTCACTCTGAGTTCTCATTGGCTCTAACTCTATGTACTTGGCTTAAGATATAAGAGTAAGAAGGAGCCTGCTACGGTACTACCCAAGACGACAAACATTGTGACCAAGTCACGCTAGGTTTTTAGTCTGCATCTGATTGGTTTAGAGGGTGGCTCTGGTTGTGTGGACCAATCAAAGCGCGAGATTAAGTAAAATCGATGCAAACGCGATTTACTTTCGACGCTCTCGTGATATTTGCTTTGCTTTCCTCTTTATGTAAATTTTTCTCGCTTGGGTCGATAGAATGCTTGGTTTAGGAAGTCTCGTTTTCGACAAGGCAAGGGAAAAGCCAGTGGAAGGGAAGGAAGACCGCGCATGCGTGAGAGGCCTGGCCTAGGAATGCATGGATCGTCGGTAAATAACGCTATGTAACCAGATAACAGATTAGTATTCATTTATCTGCCTATTGTTGTACTTCACGGTTTTTTGTTGATGTTGCCTTTTCGACCAATTTACATTTGTGGGAACGAAAGGTACTTTACTGAGACGAGCACAATAAAGACTAGCATAAAATCTCAAACATTCGTACGTTGCAAACTATCGCCTTGACGGCGACTAGCATGTCCTCACTCTTTTGTTATGTTTGTCATGGCAATGTGCCTTTAATTCTTCTCGAAAGATGCCTCGTGCTTGTCAAAACCTTAACCCTTTCTCTCCCTGGATTGACCAAAAAGCAATTTCTCCTCACATTGTCGATACTTTTTCAAACAGCAAAGTGATGAGAAAAAAGAAGAAAAATAGAGGAGAAGATATTCTTAATTTGGGATCAAATTGCCAGTTATAATTTGAATCAGTGTATGGTGTAGATCTAGGGAATGTTATATGATGGTTTTTACAGAGACTTAAATTCTCTGAAAAACGTTTAGGATTTGCAAACTATTGTTCAAAATCTGGAACCTAAAGAGTAGGAGATAAATGGTGATACGCCTTCAAGTTTGAAATATGAGAAGCAGTAAAATGTCTTTTAGCTTAAATCTCTTTTTTCGCAAACGTCCTCGACCAGAATGTCTTAGTAAAGAGAACTGAGATTTTTCAGGTTTAACCCTTTAATTCCCAAGATCTCATTAGTAATTCTCCTTACTGTCCGCCAAACTATTCTCATTATGTTAGTTTGGAGAATTTGGTATTGGATCAACTTATTTACCTCTGATTGATATTTTTCTTTATTCTCATCACTTATCTGGTTGATATTGCGGTGATATTGTAAGGAGAAATTCTGTCTTGGTCACTCATGGGAGTTAAAGGGTTAAGAGAACATCGTCGGGAAACTTAAGTTTGCTCTTACCAGATTTGTGGACCCAAATGACTCGCAAAATATCTGGAAGAAAAAGTCTTTATTTTTGTACTCTAAAAATGTTTTTTGCCCTAATACCACAAATTTTTAACAAATTCAGTTTTCAGTTTAAACTTGCGGCTTAGTTGATCTGTTAAGGTAATCTGTCTTATCTTTTCACAGGGAAACCAAGCCGGTGATGGCAGAGGAGCGCAGTATTCGTATGCAGAATCTTCGTACCCACAATCGTCTTTCGTATCGTCGACGTCCTCAAAAACATCTTTTCGTCCGTCGTCATCTTCGGCCTCGGGAGGAGTGTTCGGCTCTTCAGCAAGAAATGATCGGACCTCGGCTCTCAAGGCTGCTTTTCAGGTTTTTGTTATGAATTTTTTCTTCTTTTACCGATCAACTTTTTTTTAAATATGTCAGTCTCGAAATTTGTAACATCCAGTTACACAATTGTCATATCTACTCACGAAAACGTATCCCATCTGCTTCCTGCGGACAGCTTAGTCTTTTTTGACTTGATGTTACTTTTGTTATGTTGCTCCACCCGAACGAATCATTCTCTTGGAGACTTATTCGACGTTGATATATTCAAGTTTTTCACGTTTTGGTCCTTAGGCCCAGTACAAGTCTCACTTTTGCGCTGCATCTTCCTCTGCGTCGAACACATGGGACGCTACAAGTCATCACAGTACGGCTAAACCCCCTGACAGGCCACAATCGTCAAAACCACAAAAACCGGCCGTCAAGAAATCCCGTTGGGACCCAGCTTAGGAACATACACGTTCACACTCTGAGATTTCATGGTTTTCTGTGGATTTTGTTCTACATTTGGGCTCAGTTGTCTAGAAGAGAAACATATATGTGTTAGTTATTTAAGATTCAAAAAGGCTAAGAACACAGTATTTTTTTTCTCTGTTTTCAATGGAGTCCCTTGACTCTCTTCGTGACTCGAAGGGGGGACGTTTGCAGCGTAACTTAACAACTTGCCTCGTGAACACGAAAATTGTCACTTGCTACGGATAATGCTCAGGTTGGTCACGCTTAATGTAGTTTGCTGTTTCTTTAACCCTTTAAAACCCCTAAGAGTGATTAGCATCTAATTTCTCCCTACAATATCAACCCCTTAATCAAACATTAAGGTCACG